AGGAGGGGGGGGGGGGGGTTCCCAATGAAAATGGACTTTTCCTGCATCTCTGCTCACTGCATTTGAGTAACATAAGCCTCCCCTGCATTAGAAAGTTCACCTAGTAAGATGCTTTCTCCTTAAGTGCTGAAAAAAGTGCCCCATTTCTGGGGTCCAAATTAAGGAGGTTCAGGAATGAGCAATTATCTGCCTGGGTTGATAAAGGGAGAGAGCTGGGCCTGGCCTCCAACTTTGTCAACCCTTTTTGCTCCTCTGTATTGAGAGACTATTCCATTTCAAGTCTAAATTAAACAACGTATCTGGACGAGAAGGGCAGGACTGAGCCTTTAATGCTTGCTTTTGGTGTTTGCTGCTAAGCTTGTCTTACAATCCACACCTTTCTCTTCCTTTCTTTCATTCCAGGATATCAAAGCGGTCATGGCCAGGTACGTAACGCTTTTCCCTTCATTGCCATATTAGGTGCCTATGCTACGCACTGAACTTAAATAGGAGGAAACGGACTCATTGAGTTGGACCAAAGCACGTTAAAAGGATGTGGGCTGCATCCAGTAATTGTTGATGATGGCTAATCCCTGATTCGAGTTTAGGGTCTTTATTTCCTGCTGGAGCTCAGTTGGGCTGCTTTTTGAAACACTGTGTGTGTATGTGAAATCGATAACCAATTAGTCCTTGGGGCGGACGTGGGTAGCAGGCTGCCATCGCTATCGCTCCATCACAGGGAGTGATGAGGTAACCGGCATATTGCACATGCTGTAGGTGGCCATTTGGTAAAAAGGCTTTATTTTAACTAACTCTAAGATAGCTGGACTTCAATTCCCATGCTGGCTGGGGAATTCTGGGAGCTGAAGTCCACACATCTTAAAGTTGCTAAGGTTGAGAAAAACTACTTTAATTCCCATGCTGGCTGGGGAATTCTGGGAGCTGAAGTCCACACATCTTAAAGTTGCTAAGGTTGAGAAAAACTACTCTAGAACCTGCCTGCTGCTCATAAAACCTTGAAGATTTCCTGCTGAGTCTCGCAGGTGGATAATCCTTTGTCTGCCTGGTGTCTCTAGGTACCGAGAAGTAATGACTCAGCCTCCAGAAGGAAACTTTCCTGCCTTCAAAGAGAAAATATGGGATCTCTCTCTCAGAAACCTTTTTATATGTAATACACTGAAGAGGTGCAAAGGTAAGGGTTTGCCCTGGAATGGGCCAAAGGTAGAGGAGTTTGGAGAGCTGTCCTTATCCAAAAGGTCACAGGACGCCCTGCTAAGCAATGGGATGAAGCAGGCTGCAAAGCAGGTGTGAATAGGACGGTGGGGTTTATTGAAGGGCTGGCTCTAATGTTGGGCAAATGGCAACTTGGGTTGCTTTGCTCTGCCCCCAGCAGTTTGGGGGCAAGTGCTATAAAAGCAACCCCAACATTTGGATCAAACAAGCCACGTGAGGAAGTGGGTTGTGGAGAGGAAGCCGATCCAAGGGTTTTGCTAAGTTATCCTGTTGGATAAATAAGCCATGATTGCTTGAATTGTGATAAACCAGGCGGCAAATGGCTAGAGGAACAGGACCAAGCACACTTGTAGGACGTGTTTCATGTGTGTGAAGATGGCCACTCTTTTGTCGGAGTCCAAAGAATTACTCCATGAGGTTGAAGAGCCTTTGGCCAGACAGACAGACAGAGGGTGGTGCCTTTGAGCTGCGCAAGAAAAAAAAGGCAAAAAGGGGGTCTTCTGGGTAGGATGGCACCATCCTGCCAGACGGATTATTAGCTACAAGTAATAGGATGCAAACTTCTGTTGGAAAGAGTGTCTTCCTCTCTCCTCCGTACTAACCAGAGGGAAGGACAATTCTGTTTCTTACCTTTTTCAAAATAACTTCCCACTGTTTCTCTCGTTTTTCTCTCCAGGAGCTATGCCAGTGGAGTCGGATGTGCAAAGAGGTAAGTCCTTGGAGGGATGAGAGAGGGGATGGAGAAGGGAAAGGGGAATGATTGCCATTTAATTGCCTAAATCAGTGTTTCTCAACCTTGGCCGTTTGAAGATGGGTGGACTTCAACTCCCAGAATTCCCCAGCCAGCATGGCTGGCTGGGGAATTCTGGGAGTTGAAGTCCATCCATCTTCAAACAGCCAAGGTTGAGAAACACTTGCCTAAATGGAGTCCCTTCAGAAGTCCCTCCCCAGCTCTCCAAACTGGGAGGCAGGCTGGGTTTCAGGGGCTGAAAAGCAGAGGGGAGTGCCCCCCCTTGATGGCAGTTGTTCTGCAGCCCCTGCCCAATGCAGCCCTCCTGGCACAGCCTGCCTTTCTGGCTGGGCTGAGCTCTGCATGATTGGGTCATGGGGGGGGGTAGGGCAGGTGGCATGATTTCACCCCACTAGTTCAGCTGGGGAGACTAGCCTGCAGCCAAGTGGGAGCAGGCACGTCCCTTGACCAAAAAGCAGGGAGCTCGTGGGTAGCTTGGAAGTTCCAGGGACACCTTGCAGGGAGCTAAAAAGTGGGGAGCAATGCTGCTCGTGAGAGGAAGCTCTTGGTGCCTCCGAGCTTTTTAGTCCTGCCCGACAGGCGGCCTTGCTGTAAGAGACCCAGAGGGGCTTCCCAACTCTTGCGACCAGCCCTCCAAGGAGGGGGGGCTGGCTGGCCCTGGCTGCTTCTGCGGAGCTCCTGGGTCATTCCTGGGGGTGGGCCAGAGCAGTCCTGGCATGGCTGCCCCTTGCTGCACTTGCAGCAGCCCCCAGGTGTAGAGAGGGGGCCCAGCCCACTGGCTTCCAGGGGGGGAATCGGGTTGCCCCCGTGGGCCAAGACCTAACTGAGTCTTGTGGGGCAGGGGCCTGTGGCTCTCCAGGGATGCCTGAACTACAACTCCTAGCAGCCCCAGCTGTTCTGAGTAAAGCCAGAGATTGGGATTTAGCCTGTGGAGGAGTGGGGGGTGGTCAGCTTGCCTGCCGCCCCTTCCCTTTCTGAAAGGGTTTCTCTTTCCTCCTCCCCAAGCCAGCGTGAGCCTGGATCCTGTGACGGCCTATCCCCGCCTGCTGCTCTCTGCCTCCAGAAAGATCGTGACCCACGACTCCACCTTCAACAGCCTGGTCAGCAGCCCCCGGGCCTTCGACATGATGCCCTGCATCCTGGCGGAGGAGGGCTTCACTTCGGGGCGGCACTGCTGGCAGGTGGAGGTGACCTCGGGGGGCCACGGCTGGGCCGTGGGGGTGATGAAGGAGTCTGTGGAGAGGAAGGGGCCGCTCGCGATTTCTGTGCAGGAAGGCATCTGGGCTCTGGTGCCTGAACTCCTGCCGCCTGCCTACCGCAAAGCGGGCACCAGCCGCTTCCGCCTCTACCTGGATTACGAGGGCGGCACCATCTGCTTCTTTGAGGTGGATTCACGGGAGCTCGTGGCGCTCCGGTCCTACGCCGTCTTCCTTGGCGAGCGGGTCTTCCCTTTCTTCATGCTGGGGGAGCCCAACACCCAGATGCGGGTGGTGCCCTGAGGGCCAGGCGCAGCCGGCTCCCTCCCTGCCGGGGCGCTGGCAGCACCAGTGCTCTTGCTCAGAGGCCAAGGGCGCGGGGTGGCACCGGGTCTCCCACAGCAGGGTGGGGGTCCTGAGGGGGCACGGTGGAAAGAGGCACTTCTTCTCTGCCTGCTTGGGGGGAGGTGGTGGCACTTTGGAGGGCGCAAGTAATAAAGAGGTGGTCTTGTCTTTCTCTGGATCTGGGCAGTGCTTGCTTTGCGTCCTGGGGCGGGGGAGCGACCAAGCGAAGGAGGTGGGGGGCCACGGGTGGGCTGCTGCTGCTGCTCCTCCTCCAACGGGGAGCCCAAGTTCCAGCAGCGGCTGCGCTTGCTGCCTCGGCGGGTGAATCCCGCGCCCCCCGCGAGGGGCTTGCTGGTTTTTCCCGGC